CATTGCGTTCTTCTAGTCATCCAATTAGTGATTTCTCGTCTCACAGTGGTTTTTGATGAGGTTTTTGGAAAATGAAAGGTGGACGGCTGTTAGCTAGTGGAGTGAATTAGTATAAGGCAGTTTTACATGTTTTCGTGGAAACCATTGGCTGTAATAGAGACAGACATTTTAAAGGATCATATGAGTTTCACGAAACGCTCGGCCGAGCATATTCAAACAGATTGATTTAAAAGATCGAAGTCGAGTTCGAAGATTCACTCCCTTTCAGCCTTACCTAAATGTGTGCTAACTATGCGGTGTGTCGTGATGTGCTGCCATTTTAAAATTTGTAAGCTTTTGAAAATTTTGAATCGCTTATCTTCCTTTACCATTTCCATAAAAAACTCCTTTTATGTAGAAATTCCTTAGGTCTTGAAGCAGAAGATGATATGGGTGACGTGCTAGATAATGTATAACACCATTTTCATGCCATCCCTAACAATCAATTCTTCTGGATTGACGTGTGTTGCAGCCGCATCGTCATTGTTTTTGTTTCTCAGCCATGACAACGAGTCTACGGAACGTATACTAGAGCTTCTTGCTCGTAATTTCATCTTAGAACAGCCAATAAAATATAAAACAGAATTCCTGACCAAAAAACGTTACATTGTAGGGAAGGAAGGGAATGTAGCTGAGACTATATGAGAAATAGGTACGGCTGACTGCTTATATAGTAAAAGTGACCATTTTATAAATTTATAAAGGAAAATTACCAAAAGTATCTTATTTTAGTAAAACGCAAGAGGAGACGAAGTGGAAGGCAATAGCAACTTAGCTTAAGATTACAAGTGAGTCTTTTCACCAGAAATTTCTACAACAACCATCATGAGGTGGGAATTAGAGTCAGATCTTATCAGTTTTTGATCCATTTAATTACAAGCGCCAAGATCACTCCCTATATTCGAATGCTATCGAAAGCGAAGGATTTATTTCGAAGCAAACTGTAAGCTCTAGACCTTTACTAATTAATCAACAGATGAACTCAATTCCTCTAAAACTTGCTTCGGTAGTACGGCGAAGCTTGGAAAGCCTCAGATTTGGCAAAATGGCATTTTTTTACCAGCTCTTGTCAGATGTGCAGATTACAGGGGTCGGATAACTCCAGCTAAGCGCCACTCAGTAATGCA